TATTCGGCTTTTTTCTTGTATCTTGCGTTTTAGAATTTTACCGCATACTTCATTCACTTTTTTCCAATATTTCTGAGCAACCGGGCAGGACCACCATTGATGGAAAAAGGTTGATGTCTAGTTGTTGCATTTCCAGCATTTGGTGGAGTTGTTTTTGTACATTTGTCCCAGTTTCTGCGGCGTCATGTACCATCGGTACAGCATTTTGTACGAATTCTCTTTTAATGCTGAGGAGTACGTATATTTGATTTTTCTCGACCATACTTGTTCCCACTCTCTAAGCATTATGGTTCTACCGATGTTCTTTGCCCATTTTGTCATACAGACTTTAATTAATTCTGATTCAGTTGCCCATTTTAATATTATATTATATATTGATGTTATATTTTTCTTATCTTTACTTAAGAGTCTTTTCCCAGAAATCGTCCCTTTCCATGAAGCCATTTTTTTTTGTCTTTGATAAAGTGTTCTCATGTTGACACATACAAATCCAAATAAAAGTGTTACTTTACTGCATTAGCTTTCATTTAGATGGATGTTCTTAACTTGAGGGCCATGGCCACTCTGCAGGTTTAGAGAGTATATGAACTGTGCTCCACCCTTTCCAAAAGGCATTTCTTTGATTTCCATTGTGTTATGAAAATACCATATCTTCCTGTTTAAACCACGTGGTACCCTGCCTTGAGCCTATTATTATTATTATTATTATTATTATTATTATTATTATTATTTTGTGATACGAAATCCAGCACATAGACCTCGTTTGCTGTGACATACTGTGCTTTTGTGTCAGTAAAATAATAATAATCCCACAGTTCTTCCAATGAAGTCAAAATTTGTGACTTTGTTCCTCCATTCTTTACCTTCACAAAACTTTGTGAAAGAATGTGATTGGTTCACCTGAAAGAAAGGGATGAACCAAAAATCACCCCAACGATATGCCATCAAAAGAGAAGCCCTTCTCAACGGTGGCAGTGCAGCTACAGAACACTTCCCCCTTGAGATAGCTGCATTAGATGATAACACAACTGTATTTCTTTATTGCTTATCAAGAAAATGCCTAAAATAAAATGCCAACTAGGGTTGTTCAGTCTTGACACAAAGCCTAAGTCTAACAAGTTCTTCACTTCCTGCATCACCAGGCTGTCTTCTCTCTCTCTTTAAAATTAAGGAAATAGACCAGAGCCCAATCTGAAACTGGATCTGCTGTGGGTGTTTCTCTCAAGTCTTTGTTGGAGATATTCTTAAATAGCTTTAACCTAACAACTCTTAGTCCTTTCTAACTATACCACAACATGTGTGAAGATGACAAAACTTGGAAAGGTTACTTTTTTGGACCACAACTCCACTTCACTGTGTTTCCAGCTAAAATTCTAGAATTTATTTTCCTAGTCTCTGGCAACTGCTCTTACTATAAATCAGAGAATTTCCACAAATCTGATCAATAGCAGATCGGCAGGGCCTCTGAAAGAGTCCTTTCTAACTATGGATGCTCAAATTCTTTTCAAGTGGAAACGTTCTATAACAAAGCTACAGTTCCTCCCCAACATGGCTATTACATTTACCACTATCAAGTGACGCCAGTAGCTTAAAACTACTACATCAGTTTCAAAACATATACAACAGGATACAATAGCTTTGGCTTACAACTTGCTACCCCTTTCAGTTTTGTCCTACAATAAAAATCTTTAATGATGCAGTACTTTGCTTCATAGCCAAGGCCACTTCATAGGTTTTCTAATATAACTCTTAGTTCTCTTAGTCAGAAAGGCACACTTAATCATTGCATGGTGCCCTATTTTCAGGGCACAAGATAAATAGCCCTTCTCATTGCTGTTACTCTTTTAAAAACATAAACCTGTTAGCATATTCTCCTGCATCAATCTTCTTTTCTCTCAGAATCCCAAGTTCCGACAGGCTGTCCTCATAGAGTTCACCTTCTAAACTATATAATATTAGAAAGACTTCTGTGATATGAAAGTGTAACTGACTGAAAACATGAAAAGATCCATATGAATGTGACTATGTGTGTACATACCTGCCTTCAAGTGGCAACTTGATTTATAACAACAATCCCATCTTAGGTTTTCTTAGGCAAGGAATACCCAAAAGTGGTTTTACCAGGTTGGAATACAGCCTACAGCACCTGGTATCCTACAGCAGTCTACCATCCAAGGATTAACTATGGTAACCTTGTTTAGATCCCAAGATTTGCTGCCTTTAGAGCAGTGGTTCCCAACCTTTGGGCCGCCAGGTGTTTAGGACTTCACATCCCAGAAATCCCAGCCAGCTTATCAGCTTACCTGGAGGTCCAAAGGTTGGGAACCACTGCTTTAGAGCACAGTGGTACCCAACCTGTGCTCCATGGAGCCCTAAGAGTACCGCATGCAATTCCCAGGGGCTCAATGGCTGCTTCAGCATAAAAAATATTGAATGAGATTAAAGAAGAAACAAAAAGCAGAATCAAAATAAGAAAATCAGGGAATGTATCTCTTTACATTCCCTTACTCTCTATCCCCTCTTCCTCCCTTTGTAACACTATTCCTAAACAACATTAACATGTAAGACAGGATAGGTCTAAAGGGCTCTGCCATAGAAACTGATTCTAAAAATGGCTCAGTTGGCCAAAAAGATTGGGAACCACTGCTTTAAAGTATTTAGGCCCTTGACTAGGGGATGCATTTGTTTTATAAATTAGCCAGAAAATCTGTGTTTTGGGTTAGCTATAAGACAACCCCATGATATTCATGGGGTTGCCATACATTAAAAGGAAACTTAAAGGTACATATACACACATACAAGTAAAGATAGTCAAAATACAAAAATAATAAAATATTCAATTTTAAGTTAAAAATAAGTCTAAATGCTTGATTTTAGAGTAATACATGGGAAAATCAAAAATACTGTCATGCAAACACAACTAGGCAATAAAACTTTGTAGGGATGCTACATGACTTTGAATATAAAGGCAGTGGAGATTTGTACTATTTATTTATAAACAGGCAAGTATATTAGAAAATAAAGAAACCCTTTAAGGAAGGCAGCACAGTTTTTTATTTCAAAATCAGATCCCCAAATAGAATGATATAATCTGAATGGTGCTTCAGTCATTTCAGAACTAGGTTTAAACTGTTTATCTGCCCTCCTATCTGCTAAATGGTATAGCTAACACTGATGAATATGACATTTCAAAAGTTAGAAAAGGGTGTCCAAGTAATCAGATGAAAAATATATGTTTTCTACAAACTCTTTTTCAGACATTGGAATGTTACTTTTAAAATAAATAATGAAAGTTGTACTTCAAAAGCACAAAAAAGATTTTAAATTGCAATTTGCTAGGAATAATTATCTACATTATTTGAATTCAAAAGTAATAGGGATGATTTTTTGTTCATTAAAAAATCCAGAAGGTCAATACATCCTGTAATTATAAACGTGATAACAAATTACAGCTAAGAAGTCAAATCATCCACTTTCACATTATAGTCTCAATAGAATTTAATCATGCTCAATTATTGTGAAAAAATACATTAAAAATCATCTTTATTTTAAATTTGTTTATTTAAAGCTCTGCTCCCACTGACAAATGTCAACCAACTATAATAAATCATTAAAAAACCACTGGCAAATCACAGATTGATCTTCAAGCATCAACAGGACACAAAATTGTCCAAGAATTCGGTTTACATGATTCCATAGTTTAATTATTAAAGTATGAACATCACTAGATATCAGCAACATATCTAAACATTCTTTTCTAATGTGTGCCTTACTTAGTTCAAACACTAAAATTACTAACCAAATTCCATTTTCTTAGTGAGGTCCCTTCCACACAGCTGAATAAAATTCCACATTCTCTGCTATGAACTGGAATATATGGCAATGTGGACTCAGATAACCCAGTTCAATGCAGATATTGTGGGATTTTTTGCCTTAATATTCTGGGATATAGAGCTGTGTGGAAGGGCCCAGTGAGAAGAGATTTAAAACTGTACACACCTTAACCATTATTTAAATCTGGGGGGGGGAAATCAAATCAAAATGAACAGGCACAGTCAATTATGTTCTAAATAAACATGGACTGATCCATAAGATTAGGTAAGAAATAAGGATGTTCATATGTAGCTTTCCTTATATCAGGGGAAGGCGAGTGCCAAAGTATTGGGATACACAATTCAATTGGGTCAAATTCTTGAGGACCACTTTTATTGAAGTGTTTTGGAGTTTAACAGGTATCGTTTGGAGATAACTAGCATATGTACCTGGCATTGCCGAGGTATGCATTTTCTGAATATAGGATTCTGTGAAGAACAGAATTACTCCCTGTGTTTTGCCATCTTAAAGACTCCTTTCTCCCTTCTTCAGCTTGCTTCTATCCTTGCCTGGTCCTCTGAGAAGGCCACCCACAGAACGTCTCCATCCATGGCAAAGTTCTGGCCCTCCTACAGTGTCTCCCCTTCAGATATTCTAGTCCCCTTTCATTTTTCATCTTACACATATGTAGCACTTTTGACGATGTACTGCCCTCTTCTGGTGACATGAGCACTGTATACATACCTATTTATTCATGTCGGCAGTCCTACTCCTAAATTAGGTTTACTTATCTTTTTAAGTTGAAACCCTACCAGTATTTTAAGTTGGATCATTAAGTGCATGCGTACCAAGTTTGGTCCAAATCAATCAAGCCATCTAGGAGCCTTTGTGGAACAAACATAAACACATATTTTCACATATATCTTCTCTTTCATCAGAGTAATAATTGACTGTTTATAATATTCCTGTTTGTTTACAGCTGGAGCATCACTAATTTCTGTTCTATGCTCAAGTTGAAAAATGGCAACATATAAATGACTTTCACCTTTAAATTCATAAGAGTATTTAATAACAGGAAAGAGTAAAGCAATTCATAAGATAAATATTTACACTGTTATTCAACTTCTCTATGAATATACAAATATAATCCAAATTATTCTTAAACAATTAAGAATCAAAGCACTTACTAAGTCTCTGTGAAGCACCCAGTTTGCATGGAGATAATGGATTCCATCAAGAATCTGATAAAGTAGTGATTTGACCATGGATCTTGGCAACTGCATGGGTTTTTTGTTTGCTTTAGAGGCACGGTGGAACTTGATAATATGCTGGAAATAAAAAGAAGACAAACATGAAAGTAGCTTGTAAGAATAAATTTCTCATACAATAGCAGTGTAGAAATTAAAAGCCTTTTAGCTTTGGAATCTAAAATGGCAGGCAAGTATTTTTTTTTAAAAAAAATGCTTTTATAAGTAATATTTCTGAAAATAAACAGAGGAAACTGAACTTTCAAGTTGCTTGGATTGTAATGTATTTTATGTTAAGATGTGCTTTTTACTGACAGTTTTACAGTTTCAATGCAATTGTCTCACAGCTTTAAATAAATTCCATAATGATTTAGCATTAAACTTCTCTCTCTCTCTCTCTCTCTCTTCATGGAGACTTTAGATCTGTGCTTAAGAATTCCAAAACTTAATATCCAAACCTGAGAAATGTTTTGCTTTGCTTATATTAAATATTAAAAATTCAGCCAAGTATAATCCTAAAGAAAATTTTACTTTAGCACTATACTTGGCTGAATTTTACATATCTCACACCTAAAAGTAACAGTATAGACTTATTGAGAAATTATTTTACTGCTATAAATGAAATTTAAATTTTACTGTATTTTGCCTCAGTCCTCACATGGCATGTATTGGGATTCTCCCAGTCCAACTGAATATCAACAGAAATAACCTTTGATAAAATATGTAGGCCTATGACTCCAACCTTGTCATTTTTCCTGTATGATTTTTGACAGCTGTCTCCTGATGAAAAGCTGGTAGAGGTTTGAAAGCTTATATGGAATGTCTTGGACGTTTGGCCAACAAAGGTGCCCTTCTTTTGTGGACTTTATTTTATTTTACTGTATGGTCAACACAACTACCCCTGAGTATACTTAGCGTAAGAAAAAAAGATATTCAATTCTCTGTCTGAATATCTACCAGTTATTAGGGAGAAGGAAAGTTACGAGCTATGGAAAAATGGAAGTAATGCATGTTGATTGGGACTGAGATTTGTAATAAATGAAATAACTTCAGCCTTAGTTCAGTCCAGACTTGCCTTTAGCTGTTCGGCATTTAACAACAATTTCAAAGCTTCCTTCTAAACTGAACTTCAGTTTCTAAGGAATGGCAAAAGAATAAAGAATAGCCTAGGATGAAAGATACTAAAGCATGATATTTCTGAAGACCTAGGGCAGAAATTACTTTGTTAGAATCATCCAACCTCAACAGAAAAAAGGGTTGAATCTGAAGCATAGCTTGTCACAGATTAGCCTCAACTCCACTTTCCAATTTGGTGACATATGGAATTGTAAAGCACAGAAGGACTAGTGTTGTAGTTCAGCGTAATGGTAACGTTACTACTACTGGTAGAAGGGAGAAGAGGTCTGCGCAGGAGTTAGAGGAGGAACAACAGCGGAAGCGCATTAGGGAAATAATCATGGCCCCAAGTGATTCTGACACATTTGAGGGCTTCTCCAATTGTGCAATGGGGGATGGGGAGGAAAGCAGGGGAGTAAAGAGGGCTACTCGCGATCCGGAGTCCGATGAGGAGCTTCAGAGGAAGCGCATCCGGGAAATACTTAGTGCTCCTACAGAGGACGAGGATTTCATGGGGTTTGAAAGGAGTGATGGGTCTGGGAGTGATATGGGAGAGGAGGAGGAACTGGACTGGACCCGTGTTCAACAGATTAGGGACATTTGTAACCAACCCACCTCCAGTGATGAATTTGAGGGGTTCACAGGGGATTGGCAACCGGGGAGCACTTGGCAAGATCTAAGTCTTGGCAGACGCTGGCAGAAATGGAGAGATGCACGCTCGGGTTAAGCTGCGGGGATGGAGGCAGCTGAGAGCGATGAGGAAAGGGTGGGGAGCTCATCATCCTCTAATGAGGAACTATAGGATAAAAGTGGGTTCAAAACATATGGCTCTTTGCAGAAGGCAAAGTGTCTTTATGGGACATAAATCTTTGTTACTGCCAACTCTCGAGCATGGGTCCTTGGGCTACAGATTCCTGTATTCCTGTGTTCCTGTGATTCCTGCATTCCAGTGTTTACATTACCCTACGGCTTGACCACGGACCAGTTTGACCAACGCGTTTGGCTTTTTGGACTTAAGACATTGCTAACCTCGTGATTGAACATTGCATTGTTTTGGGACTTCGTTTTCTACCTTTTGTGACTGTGTTTTTGAACTATACAAACTTTGAAGCAGATTGCTGAACTTTGTGTTTAACCCGGATTAAACAACGTTATAATCCGGGTGATATTTTTGTTGTTGGTATCGCTTTGTTTTTGATGCCAGATTGCTGCTCTGACTCTTTGCACTGAAGTTAAGTGCTTTGAAAGACTATTTTTGCATAATAAAGCTGTGTTTGAACTCTTTATCTTGTGTTTGGCTCTACTTAAGGCTTCTTGGTCTTGACAACTAGACATACTAAAGTGCTCTAGCCCCATTCCATATACACTGGAGTCTCACAACAAACTGAAGCTTCACACTAGGAACCAGACTTTCCTCTATTACCACAGAAACCCACTCTTCCTTTGTCACTTTTCACTCATGGTCAGAATTATATGTATGCTAAGCTCAGTCTTCTTCCCTCTTAACCAAGGTTTGCAGACTGTTCAGACCCATTTAACTTGGTTACATTATTACCCTGGTGACCACCCATAACCAATTTAAAAAGACATATTAAGCCCAACAAGAAAAGAGAGAGCAAAATTCATGGCAAAGAATAAAAGGATGAGAAACAGGAAAGAAAGTATTAATTTGAGTCTTACTTGCAGAGAGTGATTTGCAGGGAGTTAGCATTACATTCACACTACTTGATCAGACTTCTGTACATTTAGGATTAAGAATAAGATCTCAAAGGAAAGGGAGACCAATACTCTTTGGTCTATGTCTCTCAGAATCTCTAGCAGTATGAACTGGAGGAACCTGGGAATTGTAATACAATAAAGTATTTTGTCCAAACTCTGGTCCTAACGAATTCCTCACAGTTAGAGTTTAAATAGCAGGCACAACTATTAAAGAGTGAAGCAGAATTACACACTTTTCATAGGAAAATAATTTTCGGAAGAAATGCCTCAGCAGTATACAATGATTCTGCACTACTACCTCAAACTGAGAGAAACTACACAACTGGTCACAACTTTCATACAATGGATGCCGTCAAGAAATAGGATTACTTATTAATTCAAGTTTTAACCTGCTAAGTGCCCAGCACATAAAATTTCTTACTTTAGAATATAAATTAAGACTCAAGAACTTCATATTCACATAACTGTTCAGCAGATTTAAAAACCCTTTAAGTACTAAGAACATATAGATCACAGTACTGATAATTCAAAATACAGTATGCCTAAGGTTGTTCTCCATTTCCTTTGGTATGCAATCATAATAAAGATAGAGAAAGAGCCAATAAATGTATACAATGCCTTAAAATCCCCTAGTGAGGAACTGCCTATACTTGTTTCTTGGAAAAGTATTTCCATTTAGACCCTGGAGAAATTATTATTTTCTGAGAGAAAATGTGAGAGAATTGATTAATATTACAGGTAGTATATTGACAAATCAAATGTGGAGGTTTCTGCATTTTTACTGCTACAGCCTATCTCTCCTTTCCATCTAAACCGAAAGACTGGATGAGAGTGAACAAACTGAAGTTAAGTCAAGACAAAATTTGAGGTGTTCCTAGTTAGTTGCAAGTCAGATCAGGTAATAGGAACTGAACCTAAACCTATGCTGAATACCGGCACATTCCCTCTGAAAACCCAGATTCGCAATTTTAGTGTTCCCCCGAAATAAACTGAACCTGAATGTTCAAATTTGATAGTGGCCAGAAATGCTTTCACACAATTAAAACTAGTATGCCAACTGCATCCATTTCTTATGATTTCTGGCTTGGCCAAAGTGATATATGCCTTATTTACAGCCTGTATGAATTACTGTAATGTGCTTTATGTGGAGCTCTGTACTTAAAATTTGTTATGTTGGGCAAGTTTGCTCTAGATGCATCATTGGTGGGGTTCAGTGTGCTCTCTGGCTGTAGGGTAAACTACAACTCCCACTATGTGTAGTCAGTTAGGATATTGGAGTTGTAGGTACTGGGATTTATAGTTCACCTGCAATCAATGAGCACTCTGGACTCCACCAAAGATGGAATTGGACCAAACTTGGCACACAGAGCCCCCATGACTGTTTCTCCGGTTGTGAGTGAACTACAACTCCCAGAAAGGAAGGCTAGTTCCCCCAAAACCCCTCAACTGGATGGACTTGGACCAAACTTGGCACACAGAACCCCCATGACTAGCTCAAATGTCCAGGCCAATTCCCCTCAAAACCCACCGATATTCAAATTTGGGCATATCAGACATGCATGCCAAGTTTGGTCCAGACCCATCATTGTTTGGGTTCATAGTACACTCTGGATGTAGGTGAACTACAACTCCTATAAATACACCCAAAGACCTCCAGTAATTTTTGTTTGTCATGGGGGTTCTGTGTGCCTAGTTAGTTCCAGGTCCATTGTTGGTGGAGTTCAGAGTGCTCTTAGATTGCAGATGAACTCATTACCTACAGCTCCTATAAATCATGATGAATTCTCCCCAAACCTCCCTAGTATGTTCAGTTGCTGAACAATTCCTCTGTTTGTTGTGTGCTATAGAAAAGAATAGGAAAAGCTTAAGGGAGAGGCAGTGGGCAGGGTCATGCAAAACCCACACCAATGGAGAGAGTAAGAAACACTGGGATGTCTGTGGTGGAGGAAAAACAAGAAAATCTAGGACGAAATTCTAGATTAAAAGTCTTCACTTGGGTGGTGAGCAGTATTGAGTTTGTGGAGGACAATGGTATTATTATTATTATCACAGTCTTCAACATAGGAGATTTTTTAGCTTAGATATATTTTGAATAATGAACAAAGATATCTGCCTGCATAAGTTAGCAACATTCGCTTGATTTCCCCATCCAACTGCAGCCCCTTCACCTAATATCAAGCCATTTCAGAAAGTTTCTTAGTCGTCAAAACTGGTTTTTGGGGAAACGCAGTGAGTTACTGTGAAGCAAGGAGTCGGAAAAGATCTACTGAACAAGGGACATTCTAAATTTCTATCGCTGGATTCAACTCTTAAATATTTGTGTATTTTTTTCATATTTTCTCATGGCAAAAGTATGATCCCAGCTTCATCTTGCCTTTAGACTGGATGAGAACATTTTATACCTCACCTGATTCATGACTACTTAAATTGGTTCTTCAAATATATACACTGCACTTACATCTTACATTTTGCCAACACGCTTAAGGCAGCACACATGGTTCTCCTCCCATTTTATCCTCACAACAATCCTCTGAGAGAAATAGTGACTAGCCCAAAATTAATGACTGAGATTTCATGGTTGGATTTCTGTATCACTAGGCCCACTCCAAACACTATACCATGCTGGATCTCAATATGAACTACAAATACAGCTCAGGATATTGTCTTCTCCATCCTAAAATCAACTGATACAAATCAATTTTTAGCACAGAGCATGCAAGGTAGAATTATGCCAAGAATGTAAGTGATCCTCATGAATGAAATATGTCTCTAAACATGTGGATTTTAAAGCTGATTTTTGAAGGAGTAGAGTGAAGGAGCTTTACATACGTTAATTGGGAGGCTGTTCCAAGTATTAGAGGCAGCATGGAAAGAGACAAAGTTGGGAGTGAGCGAAAACACAATGGGGAAATAGGGGTGGATGCTTTAGGACAAATGACGAAGGGGGAATTATTCAAAAGATCAGGGATAAAGTTTTGGCTATCACCCAATTTCAGATACTCCAAGTGAAACAAATATTTCTCAAAAAAAAAACTCTCTAGGTTCAAAAACAGATAGTATAAAATAGTTTATGGCTGTGTCTATAACAACATTTTCTCACACAATATTTCTTTGATAAAGTTCTTCATTAGTCCCAATTTTCCCCCTCATAACTTTGAACTTCTCCTTTCAAGAACGTCATGGTCCCTAAAGGCCGGACAAGTGCAATTATATCTTTTTCCCTATAGACCATTCAGTATTTTACACATATAGAGACTGTGAGGAGAAGAACAGAGATGGAGACAGGAAGGCTATTGCTAGATTTAAGACGCTGGAGTTTCCAGATTCTGGCATTCAAATTTAGTGTTACCACACAACCAAAATAACAAAAATGATTTTCCTGGTGAAAGCTGAGGGTTTAAGGCAGTGGTAAACAACAAGCATGACATATAATTCTGGATCAATTTATATTAATTCATAAGTATGGGGTTTATTCTTCACAAAGCAGTCCAATGTAGCTCAGTGTGACCTGACCAAGGAGGCAGGTCCAATTATGTGGTTGCTTCCTCACAACAAGTTCACTCTGTAATATGGGGGAAAATGTTTTCATGTGAAGAAACCCTTGAATTGGTCCCATATATACCATATGTGAAAAAGCATTGGGTTATAACATCATGGCAATTTTGCTCTTTCCACTAAGCTTAGATTTTGACATCTGTAAAAAAACTTCATCCTCTATAATGAGATGCATGATTTAGTTCAAGAAAATCACAAAGTGAAGCATCAACAGTTCAAATGACAAATGAATGAAAATACTGAAAGACCTCACACCTCAGACCTCACACCTCTGAGGATGCCTGCCATAGATGCAGGCGAAACGTCAGGAGAAATGCCTCTAGAACATGGCTCTATAGCCCGAAAAAACCCACAAGAACCTAGTGATTCCAGCCATGAAAGCCTTCGATAATACAATACTGAAAGTGTTTATATGAAAATTGTTAGTAAAGAGAAAGCCTCGAAGAGTGATAAAGTTCTGGTGTGTTGCATGGAAAGAGACATGAAAAGCTAGACAAAACACAGTGAAAGAAATACACTTTGTGTTATGACTACATAATAGGCAGCCAGCAAGCAAACCAAAAAAGTGGCTGGTTGTATGAGAACTTTTAAAGCTCTGCAAATTGGCTCTTTGAGCGTATTTATTTTAGCAGGAAAACATTATTTTGTGGTTGCTCTTAGAAAGCTAGTAAACTCAATCAAAGTAGAGGGTGTATACATATAAAATGAAGTTATTTGTAATGAAACTGACATTTTTTAGCTATGAGGTATACATTCATTCTTTATGTAATTAATTGTGATGAGTAAAACTTCAAAAGTAAGTGGGTGCAAATTAGTAAATCTGTAAGAACAAGTCCACCAAATGAAATTATAAGGCACATGCAGTAGCATGAAATCTCACAACTTTACATCATTTTGATCCAAGTTTATTTTTTACTTTGAACATGTTGGGCATGTATTTTCTCTGGCAGTACATATTATTTCCATAATGGATTTTGATCATCTCTACCACTGTAAACAACACAGAAATTTGTCATGGTCAAATATAACATTTATGTTAGAATAATCTTAATTCAGTATAATTTCAAATGATCTGACAGGGTAAAGATTTTAAAAGTACTTATGCTGGAAATTTGTCGCAAAACTGCTAAAAGCATATGTTTGACAGAAGAATTCAGGAATATACAACTATGGTACATATAAAATCCCAGCTTCAATACAATATCTGAAAAAACTTTAATATACATCTGCCATACTACACATAAGAATGCTTTGCAAACTTTGAATTTATAGAACACCGTTTGAGATCAAACTACATACCTTTCAAAAATCTGTGATATGATCTTCTAAAGTTTCCTTTTTTGCTTTAAAGGCAGATATTGAGGCCCCCTTTCCCAGATTCTGTCTTCTGCTTTCAATCTCATCAAAACCTGTAATCTGTCCCCATTAATTAAAAAATCTGATGACAGATACACAGCCAAATATCTCCTGAGTCTTTCCTCTTTTTGAACCAATGTGTTGTGAATATAGAAGCAAGAGTCCGATGAACAACCAAAAAATAGGCAATTAAAAACTACATTGGGGAAGGGAGATAAACTCCTCCATTTCCAAAAAAAAAATAGTTAATTTTAAATGCCATTCTTATTTGTTAAGAGGAAGAAAACAAATAGGGCTTCGGGGGAAGGAAAGTAAGTCTCCATTTTTCAGTTATAAAATGAAAAAAGTACCGGTACATAAAAATGACAAAACGTTGTAATTTATTTTGATTTCAAGAATCACGTTTTTGCCCTTAATGCACACTTTTAGAGCCCCCACCAAACAACTAGGAAATCCAAACTGTTATTATTAAAATGAAAACTTACCCACAAATCATGTTCAGCATAATCAAACAGTAGCCACACCTTTCTGTCACTATGAGAAAGGAAAACCTTCTGCAATGCAATCACATTAGGATGCTTCAGTTCTCGCAAAAGCTGCAAGTGAAGAGACAGAGATCATAAATATTTCTGCCCTTACAAATAGACCATTTTCATTTAATTTCCCAGAACATATATATTTATCCATGCATGTCAGGAGAATTTCAGCAGATGAATGAAACACATCTTGACTCAAATTGGCTTACAGACAATCCATGGAGCAACAAAGGATCATAATGAAGTTCTAGTTCCTTAGTTAGGAAGCTTAATAGAGGATGGTATTCAAGCTGAGTTTCAATTATTTGGTTTGAAATTTCAAGGAAACAGTAATCCTAGCTCTTGCAAAAAAAAAATCCTCTAATTTCATCAATTTAAAAGACTATATTCTCTCTAGGCAAAACCATTTTGGATACTACATATTGATAGTTCATATCCGAGCAATAAGGGCACATCCAAAGACTGGTGGAGACATGGGACAAGTGACATTCATATTCTCTCTCTCTCCTTCTAATACACAGAGGTGCATTCATAGAGAAATACATAACCCCCCTAAAACACTCCAATGGAGGCTTATTAAAATCTGATTGGGGGGAGGGGGAGAGTAAAATCTATTTTTTCCAATTGCACAAATAAGATTTGCAGTGCGGAACATCTCCAGTCATGGAGACTATATCAATCTTGTCAGAGTAGAGCAGACATCCAATGGGTTATATCTATTCCACAGACTGGAGGTTCTTTATTCCTCTCTAATATGACACAGTATTTTTTTGTGTTGGTAAGTCAATGAGACAAAATCTAGCTTATCTTCCTGAAACCTACTCAATGCTATAAATCTGTACCAGCAATATTTTCTCATTTTGCACAAAAGTCAGCTGAAAACTTTTTCTCAGAATCTCCACTGTTCAATAAAGAAGATAATGATGCTGCTGTTAGACAAACCTTTCTGTTATAAACTCTATTCACTTAACAATAAGTTGCATCTAAAGTTCCCATTCTCAAAGAATGACTGCACTCCTTGTACCAGAGTGCTGTGCAAGAAAAGTAAGACATTATACTCTGTTTGTGCAATTTCTTGCACAAGTAAAAATATAACTACCACATAAGCTCCCTATTGCAACAATGCTTAATTCTATAAGCAGTCCAGATGGCTATTTTCCTTTATGTTATTATTCTTAGGACCAGCCCCTAAGCACTCAGTTTGTACAACAGTATTTATAAGTCAAATGCAGAAAGCTGAAAACTGTATCTGCACAATTGTGGAAAAAACAGCATGAAGCAGCCAAGTGGAAAAGTGGAAAAGAAATACTACGTGTTGCTATCTACTCTTGTTCAGACATGCATATGAACTCTTACGTGTATCCAACAAACTAGAAAATATTGGGAATTTTTTTCCAGAGGCATGGCACATACTTGGCAGATTATGCACTGTGCTAAAGTTGTTAAACGAACTCACAAACAAGGATTAAGAATGAGCAATGCAAGTTTTATTCTATGACATCTTAGCACAACAATCTTTAATTCTGGAACAGTAGACTTTTCCCACTATGAAAGCCAAAGAAAAAGAGAAAAAACATGTTGGAGTTATGGTTCATCAAATAAGGAATGGGAATGGAAGTAGGGAAGAGGGCAGGTGTCCTCTGGAGACTAAGCACAACAGGAAAAGTTCAGGTACCAGTGAAGAGGAGCATGAATAAGTTGAGAACAGGCGTGGACAGCTACTGCTCTCCAGATATTGGAGAATTTGGCTAAGCTGCCTAGGGCTAATTAATATTTCAGTCCACCAACATCTAAGGAAACATCAGTTATTCACCACTATTTACAGCAGTATCTAGGGGAAGAACTAAAAGAAGAAAGTATTGTATAAAATGAACTTCAAAAAGGAAAACAAAGTCTTTCTTCTTCTTCTTTGCTTTTTTGCTTTTTATTAGGTCACATTACTTTTGAAGCTGAAATCAAGCAGAGACCAGGTTATCTTCATATTTTGGCACTTGAATGGGCTTGAGTTCACAACACAGTCTGGACTTTGTTCCCATTCCAGAGTGGCTGGTACAGGTGACAGCTAAGATTCTGATTGCCAGCAAAGCCTTCATCAAAGACCCCCCAACTACAAAAGGAACAAGCATCAACAATGTAATGCAGTAGACAAAAAGCAATGAAATTATAGGCTGAATCAACAGAATCATAGTATCTAGACTGAGGGGAGTAATAGTACTGCTTTATTCTGCTTTGGCTAGGTCTCACCTGGAATGCTGTGTCTAGTTCTAAGCACATAGTCAATTGAAAAAGTTTGCCTAAAGAAAAGGGCCTCTGTTTGCTGACAAAAAGGAGGACACCTTAATCTCCGTTAGAAGAGATTTCCATAGTCTGGGAACAATTATGGAGAAAACGCATTTTCATACCCACTTCCAACATGCTTTGAGACTGGGGGGGGGGGGGGGGTTGGTGGAGGGCCTCTTAGGGATCTCAAAAAGCAAATAGGCTATGATAAAAACTACGGTCCACTGGCTAACCTGTGCCCAAGCTGTTCCAAAAAGGGAGTTGGGTGCACCCACTAACTGGCTAGAGCATTCTGCATCAGCTGAGATTACTGAGCACTCTATGAATGCAATTTCACATAGACTGTGTACGGTAATGCAAAAAAAAGTTTCTAAAACATATTTTACCACTGCCAAACATGACATTTGTAGGCACAGAGGCTGTTGACTCATCAGCAATAACTATGCACACTAGCAAAAGCTAGGCATCTAGGGTCAGGAGAGGAATCCAAAATTATACCCACCAAAAACCTGAGTTTTAAGAGGAAATCTAACCATTCAGTGTAAGCTGAACCACTATTTCTTGATCTGCCTTTTGAATGACCAGAAACACCTGTCACAGCTGCATAAACTTTCAGTTCATTGACCTTCATCTAATCTGTTGCTGACACTGAACACTTTTTTAGAACTAAACCAACTTTCTTGGAATTAGATAAGGAGAAATAGAGTTACAATCAGCATAATGATGACTGAGATGAAGCCAAAAACTCTACATGTTTCTGAACGGTTTTATGTACATGTATGGGGAAACAAAATCAAACCTTAATGGACTCTACAGTGAACATTACAAACATGCAGATTTCATCACAACAAAGGCTAGTTAGTTAACGTAAAGACTGACATTACTACCATTAGAATCCTTTTATTATGACTTGTCATAGTTCCCTGACTCATTCAGAACAAACACATTTCTAGCTATATGAGATAAGGTAGTAAGATGATGCCAAGAGAAATACAACTTACAGAAAACATGTTTAGAGGGCATTATGACTGAGCTCGCTATCAAAGGTGGCAACACAATCTCATATATATATATATATATATATATATATATATATATACACACACACACACACACACACACACACACACACTGACAGAAACTATGGCCTCACTTTCCTGTTTTCATAGTGAGAGAGAATATCTTTTTTTTAAATCACTCTTATTTAGAATGCATGCTTTTGTTAAAGAATGAAATAAAAAATTGTCATTGTTCCAGATCAGGAAAAGTGCAATGAGTGCTCATTGCCTGCAAGTAGGATAGCACGTTCAAGGGGACTTGATGTAATCTGGAGCAGCCAACTTGGCTCCATGGGACATACACATAGATAAGCATCTCCTCACCACCATTTACGCTAGGTCCTCATGTGCTTTCAACATAATGTTTTACTGCCATTAGACTCAGTATTTCCTCAGTAAACATATTATCCCAATAGCATTCTTCAATGAAAGGTTATGGGGACAAGATGCTGTTCACATTCCTTGAGGATTAAGGACATGGCTTGTACAACAGTAGGGAGTAAGATTTTAAGAACTGACCCCCATGGCCTCCTATTTCAACAAGCCCAGTTGAAAATTATCCAAATGACAAGACAAAATATCTTTTTCAATTTACTCATTCTCTCACATTGCATGTATACCTGACAATGTCACAGGATTACATCTACATTTGAAAAAAAATAGTTTAAATCAATGATGGGTATCATTCAAGCCACAGGCTAAATGTATACCTAGACTCATTTTCTGCATGATCTACTCTCAAATTTAACAGTATATGGTTTTGAAGCACTTTCACTTTGAAGAAATGTGGGGAGTACATGCCTTATGTTTTAACCAAATTCTCCTCTACTTTAAAACAAAGCACATGCTATGGTGCCTGTGTACCTTGTTTTAAATGGAAGTACTTCAAAGTAAAACTTCACTCCCTTTTTTCTCTTGCTGCTACTGCTTTACCTAAATTTTGCCAGTGGTAGTATACTACAATCCCAATACCTTTGGGTTGCATTGTTAATAATTATGTTATGAAACAACAATAAATAGGATGCCAAACTATTAATTTAAAACAAAAGCCTCATTTTGATGCTTTATAGTAACATTATCTCCAGCAAAGGATCACCGCCTTGTCGGGGCGCTGGAGCTTGAGCACCTCAATGATGTCATGAGCGAAACCGTGAAGGGCCACCCAAGACGGGACGGTTGTGGCAGAGAGGTCAGACCAAGCGTGATCCCTGGGGAAGGCAATGGCAAACCACTCCAGTATCCTTGCCAAGAAAACTAAATGGACCAGTACAACCAGAGATATGTCGGTATGCCATTGGAAGATGGGACTCCCAGGTCGGAAGATGGCCAAAATGCTACTGGGGAGGAGCAGAGTATAAGTTCAACTAGCCCCAGATGTGATGACGCAGCTAGCTCAAAGCCGAAAGGAAGGCTAGCGGCCGACGGTACTGGAGGTGAACGACGAATCCGATGCTCTAAAGATCAACACACCATGGGAACCTGGAATGTAAGATCTATGAGCCAGGGCAAATTGGATGTTGTTATTGGTGAGATGTCAAGACTAAAGATAGACATTCTGGGGGTCAGCGAACTGAAATGGACTGGAATGGGCCTCTTCACATCAGATGACCACCAGATCTACTACTGCGGACAAGAGGAACATCGAAGAAATGGAGTAGCCTTCATAATTAATAAGAAATTAGCTAAAGCGGTGCTTGGATACAACCCAAAAAATGACAGAAT